CGCAGCTCGGCAGCCCCGGGCCCAGCCCCCCCACCCCCTTCCTCGGCGCTGGAGTGGGGCGCGGGGGACCCCGCGCTCTGGGCGGGAAGGTGCCAGGCGCCCGCGCGGATTTCCGATGAGATCCGCAGGTGAGGGCGGAGCCGAACACCGTGGAGGCCTAGGGGGTCGTGCATCTGGGTCCCCTGCGCACTTCGAGGGCCCCCCACTTCCATGGAGCCCAGGACTCCTCGACCTCCAGGGCCCCCCTCCCCGTCTTCCCGTGCGTGCCGCGCGCGCCTCTGCGCCTCATTCATTCGATGAACCTAGAGGCCCCAGCTGGTGGGCAGGGGAAAGGGGAGCAGGCTGGAGACCCCCCTCTTCTAGGTAGGCCAGAGGGGAGGAGAGGGATCGCAGCCCCCAAGGCTGCCTGAAGAAGGCATCCTCGGAACTGGGGCCCAGCCTGGCCGAACCTCTGAAATTGACCAAAGTTTGGGATCACCTGGTGGGTTTTTCTTCACCCCAAAGGCTCAGGGCATGCTTCTAGCCCTTTCTCCACCCAGGTGTCTCCTCTTCTCCCTCATTTGCAAACTGGACCCTGAAAAGGATGCCCAGAACGCTGGCCACCTGGTCTGGCTTATTTCAAACTTGTTTTTGAGTGTGTGTGTGTGTGTGTCCTGGGGCTTATTTCAAACTTGTTTTTGAGTGTGTGTGTGTGTGTGTGTGTGTGTGTGTGTGTGTGTCCGTCCTGGGGCTTGAACTCAGGGCCTAGGCTCTGTTGCTGAGCCTTCTCCCACAGCTCTACTTATAGCTTTTTGGTGGTTCATTGGATTTAAAAGTCTCACAGACTGTCCTGCACAGGCTGGTTTTGAACCTTGGTCCTCAGTTCTCACCCGCTTGAGTGCCTGTTCCACTCCTTTCAAACTTTTGAGTCATCAGCCCTTCCACCCACCCTGGGAGGGGGCCTTCTAATCTCAGCCTGGGCTCCTGCTGGCTCCTACTCAGCCCCTCACTAATCTGGTGATGGTCTTAGTTTGTGCACCCTTGAAGGGGACCCAAAAGCTTCTTTATTCTTATTTATTTATTTTGTTGTCTCAGAGCTTGAACTCAGGGTCCCAGAGCTGATCCTGAGCTCCTTTGCTCCAGAGCCACAGTGCTACATCCCGCTTTCTGGTAGTTCATTGGAAATAAGAGCCTCAGGGACTTTCCTGCCTAGGCTGGCTTCAAACTGAGATCCTCAGATCTCAGCCTCCTAAGTAGGAGGATTACAGGCGGGAGCTCCCTGACCCAGACAGAATTCTTGAGTCTCCTCAGTGTTCCCCACTCTCTATGCAATCAGCCACCAACTCCCTGCCTGCCCTCTTCTCCTTCATCTGGACTGCCCCTCCCATCCCCCCCAGGGCCCATTACAGCCCTCTCCTGCTCCATCTAATATCCACTGTTCACCTTGTCTTTTATGCTGAAAGCTTGTCATTACCCGTGATGGACAACAAAATGCTTTATTGTTCTGGGTGTCATGGTTTATACCTGTAATCCCAGCAGCTACTCAGGAGGCTGAGATCTGGGGATTGTGATTTAAAGCCGGCCCCCACAAGAAAGTCCAATGAACCACCAGAAAACTGGAAGTGGCGCTGTGGCTCAAGGTGGTAGAGCACTAGCTTTAAGCACAAAGGATCAAGGATGGTGCTCAGGCCCCAAGTTCAAGCCCCATGATCGACAAAGAAAAAATAAAACAAGGTCCACTGCCACAATTGGCCCCTCCCATCCCTGTTCTACACCCTTGGCTTATTGCTTTTGCCTGTATACTCTCTGCCCCAGGATCCTTGTCTGGGCTGACTTCACCTGTGACCCATCACACCTCTTCCAGGAAGCCTGCCGGGATTGTGTACCTGCTCTCCAGTCAGGACCTGCAGCTCCTACAGCTCCTCAGAGCTGACCCATCCCAGCTGTTGCTCCTGGTTCTGTGGGGGCCTCCCTTAGCCAAGGGGTTTACCAGAAGCTGGTGGTGCTTCCTCCCTTGTAGCTTCTAAGGGGCACCATTGTGATTCAGGAGGGTCCGTGTCTGGTCAGGAGAGTGTCCAGAGACTTCCCCATGGCCTGGGGACCCCCATCTCGTCTCCTGCTGGCCTGCGTGGTCCTGTTGTGTATGACAGATGGTCAAGGTCGCTGGCATGGAGCCGTGGAGCCTGTAGGTCCTGGACGTGTGCGGAGGCGAGGTGGCCCTGGCTTTCTCCTGCAGGGGTATGTAGTATTGGGGATGCTGAAAGCCCCCTGGGGTGTGGGCAGGGAAGGACTGTCCCCTCCTGGGGTGAGGGGACACTCAGCCAAGCAGGGGATCACCAGCCTATCATGCTGTCCCCCAAGGCCTAATATATGTGGTTCCCACTTTCACGCCTACTGCTGCCCTGGCTGGAGGACGCTGCCCGGAGGGAACCGTTGTATCGTGCGTGAGTTCTGTTCCATTCTGGAGGTGGGGGGACTCAGCCCCCTGTCCCTTGCCCCCCCCCAGGTTTCCATGACACCCGCCCTTTGCCCTACAACCTCCTCTTTTCTGCCTGGTTGTGCCACTGTCACACCATCCCTCTGAGTCTGGAGTCCATGTCTTTATCTATCTATCTATCTATTGTCAGTCCTGGGGCTTGAACTCTGGGCCTAGGCACTGTCCCTGAGCTCATCAGCTCAAGGTGAGTGCTCTACCACTTGAGCCACAGCACCACTTCTGGTTTTCTGGTGGTTAATTGGAGATAAGAGTTTCATGGACTTTCCTGCCCAGGCAGGCTTTGAATGTTGATCCTCAGATCTCAGCCTCCTGAGTAACTAGGACGACAAGCGTGAGCCTCCAGTGCCTTGCTATTTATGTGTGTGTGTGTGTGTGTGTGTGTGTGTGTGTCTGTCAGTCATGGGGCCTGAACTCTGGGGCTGGGTGCTGTTCCTCAGCTCCTCAGCTCAAGGCTAGCGCTCTACTACTTGAGCCACAGCGCCACTTCCGGCTTTTTCTGCTTATGTGGTGCTGAGGAATCGAACCCAGGGCCTCATGCAT